GGGGGTCTGGGGCAGACTGCCCCCCCCACCCCGGCCTCACCTGTCGGGCCTCGGAGGGAGACGGTTCTGCCTTCCCGTTCGGCCGCCCTGGGCTCTGCTGTTTGAGGGCCACTCAGAGCATCTCTGCCCACACCCAACTCTGGTACTGCTCGCTCACAGCAGTTCACCAGCAAAGTGAAAGTCAAAGTCAAAGCCAAGCGAAAGGTACAATAGAGTGACCGTGCCGGCGCAGAGCAGGGTGATGAGCCCCTCCCGCCTTGCGCCCCCGGGTCCCGCGGGTCCCCCGTCTTCGGAGTTCTCCTCGGAGCGCGTACAGAGAAGGTGGGGATCATGGCTCTCTGGGCCTCAGTTTCCTCCTTTGTGAAGAGGGCGGGTTTGGCTCCCTGACTGAGACGGAGGCGGAGCCCGGGCCGCGGGGACTGGCTGGTGCCGGCCTTGAGCAGGGCGCCTCGCCTCGGACCCCAGCGGGAAGGGCCCCCGAAGTGGCCTCGGAGGCTCAGGTGCTGCCACGCCAGAGCTTCGGCTGGTGAAACGCAACGAGATGCTTCTCAATTAAAATTGTCCTTGACGGAAACACAGCTACCTGGACCCTCATTTGGGTCGCGATGGCACTTCATGCCGCTGGTTTGCAAAAATCCCTGCTGAGGGGCGCGTGCGCCCGCTCTGTGTCCCGGGACCTTGAACCTCAAAGCGTAGCCGGTCTCTTGGTCAAAATCCAAGAGCCTGAATCTGGGGCAGAGTCCGTCTTTATGTTTTGATCTCACTCCTGTGTGTCCAGAGATAATTTTCAGTGTCAAACTATCCACCAGAATTTTCAAGTTCCAACCTCATCTTTCTGGTTTGGACACAGTGTGGCCACCTCCTCACATCCTTCGCCACCCCCTGCCACCCTCCTCAGCACCCCGTTCATTCACGGGTGCTCCGTGGAGCCTCGCCCCCTTTCCCCACGTCGCCCCTGCGCCTGGCGCTCATCCGACCTGCCTGGGTGGGCGGGGTCGGCGCTAGCTGGGGGCCGGAGACGCCCGTCTCCTCAGGGCGCAGAGCCTTTGGACCCCCACCCGCTGTTTTGGGACATCAGTGTGTTCCCCACAGCCCTCCGCCCCCACTCACAGGCCTTGGGCTCGTGGCTTTTATGGACATTGGAACATCTTTGCCCTTTGGCCCAAGTCCCAGCCGCTTAAATGAAAGGAAGAGGGGGACAGCTGTGGGTTTTCCTGCGGTGCCCAGGCCCCCACCCACCAGTGAAGCGAAACGTGGCGGGGAGGCCGTGGAGGGCACTCTGCTTGTGGTTTTCCTCGGAGCGGGGGAAAGCTGGAAACAGTCTAACCCAGCCCTCCTGTGTCCTAGAAGAGGCCGGGAAGTGCGGGGAGCTCCCCTGACACCCAGCGAGCCCCAGCCCCGGGCTTGCGGCCAGACTGCCACGCCTCTCCGCCACGCTGCGCCTCTGGCTTCCTGGGCACGGGCATGGGCTGGGCAGGGGTTCACTGCGATGCACGCTGCCCTGGCCAGTGGCTGGTGTGGGGGGGAGTTGGCTCTGGACGCAGCCCGGTGAGTGAGCGCGGGGCGAGGGGGACCGCCACGCAGGGGCTGGCAGCCCCTTCGCAGAGGAAAGCAGGTTCAGTACAAAGTGAGCGTTTACAGTAGCCCTGGGCAATGTTAAAGCAGGTGGTGGTGTGTATAATGGTATGTTTCGTTTTTTATCAAACGTTTGTCCAAGAAAGCTGTGTATTAGAGCTCGAATACCTAAGGGTTTTCTTGTGAATTTTAAATCATGCTCCTAGTTAAACCTCAAAAGGATCTGCGGATGGGAAGGTTTTTTGATTTCCTTTGAAGTGGTTTGAAGAAGTTGATTACTCTTGGCAGTCAAGCAGCCTTTATGACACTGTTTATAAATAATTACTCATGAGCAGGGCTGGAGTTTCAAGGTGTTAGATTTTAAGAAACTGAAATTAATTGCATAAATGTGTGTGAGGAATTGGGGGGGAGGCCGTGAATGTTCCCCTTTTAAAGCATTTCCACAGATGTGTACATTCTGGGTGCCACTTACGGGAGCCTGAAAGGGGAGGGTTTTGTCTTTGAACCCCGTCACTTTGTCAAGATGCACGTGCAACTTGGGAGTCACCTCATTTCCCAGCTGCCCTGCAAGATGCTTCCCCAACTCGTCCTCGGCTCTGCAGGCCCCGAGCCCCGTTGGGTTGGCCCATGCTCCGAGGAGCTTTGGCAGAGGCCTGTGGTCAGAGAGGCAGCCGGAGATGGACGTAGGAGCCGGGCCCCTGCCCCCACCGCGCCTTTCCTCTGGCTTTGGCAGGCAGGCCTTCTCCCCAGGGGCCGTGCGAGCTCCTGGCCTCAGCACATGAGGACCTTCCACCCTGGACTCAAATGCCACTCCTCCCCCGAACCTTCCACGGCACCTCAGCTCCAGTCTCCCCTCAACATCTCACCTGACCAAGGCCCGCCCCGGGTCACAAGGCCCTGCAGAGGTGGTTCGTGAACGCCTGCCCCGGGCCCGGCCAGCAGCGAGAATGCCTTCCCTGGATCTGTGTCCTGAGCTTCACCTGTCACGTGAGCCCAGACTCTGGCATGGCCTGCGAGGCGCCTGTCCTGGTACCCTGTGGGGTCCGGCTGCTGGTAGCCCACGTGCGTGAGCAGCAGTGTGGGCGCAGGCTGCAGCTGACACCCAGAACCTCGGCGCTGTCCCCCCGCACTCCTTGGTGGCCCTACTTGGAGCATTGTTCCTGGTGGGTGGCCCCAGGCCTGGCTCCTGCCTGCAGGGGGTTCTAGGAGCCATGCTGGCCTTCAAATAAACCCCCTCCCTGCTCAAGTTGGCCACATCTGGTTCCTGTGGTTGTACCCAAGAATGCCACCTGCAGAGGACACTTTTGTCAGGAGATAGTAATGGTGGTGACACAGGTAACAAACCTCAGTGACCACAGAATGAGAGAGGGACAGCCGAGGAGGAGGCCAGTGTAGGTCCTGCTGTGTGCGTGGCTCTTGCAGCTCTGGCTGCCGCGTAGGAGGATGAGACTCGGTCCCTCCCCTCAGGGAGCCTGCTGAGTGGTGGGGACAGTGATATCACTGGCTGCTCCGCGGTGGGACAGAACTTAGTGAGGCAGCAGGTAAGGAGCAGTCACCTGAGTATGAGCAGCAGAAGGGTTCTCAGAGAAGGAGGCCAGTGGGGCAGGAGCGGGCGCTGGCTGGGTTGGGGTCAGGAGGACATTCCCGATGGAGAGATGACGATGGCAAGGTGGGGCCGTGGAAACATCTTCAAGAGAGGCCGTTCCAGAAGGGAGGGGACTATTCGGAGCTGGATCTTTTGGATCCCCCGTGAAGCGAGGCTGTTTGGAGGAGCAGGATGCACCCAGCTTCTGTTGAGGTCATGCCCCTTGGGGTCCAAGAGGACGTAAAGGGACACGGGGCCAGAAGACTGTTGGAAGCCAAGGCCACCGTGCCGCAGAGGGCGGGACGCACTGCAGCCGAGCCCGCCTTGGAGAGGGGCGTGTACGGATGGCTGCTGAGCTGGAGCACGGCACGTGTCCTGGCTCCGGCCAGGCAGCAGGAGGTGCTCCTGGAGCACCTGTCCCTGGCCCTCCTGCCCCCACATCCCCGATCCGCACCGCCACCCGCGGGAAAGGCTTCGGGCTTCCGAGAAGCAAGTTACCTGCATGTCGGGCTTCCGAGAAGCAAGTTACACGCGTCGCGGGGCAGGTGGACCAGGCTCGTGAGTGTTTAGCGGTGCAGGAAGCAGCACTGTTCTCTGTTCTACAGCGGGGAGCTGGGGGTGGGAGCTCGGGAGGCAGCAGCGAGCCCGGATGCGTGTCCCACGTCATCTGCGTGCTCGAGGGGGAGCAGGGAGGGGACGAGCCCGCCCTCGCTCTCAGAGCCCCCCTGGTGCAGCTGCCTCGCGCCCGTCACCAGAGGCCGTGGGTCCCCTGCTTTCCTCGCAGCGCGGAAGAGGCGCTCGGGGTGTTCGTGGAGACCGAACTGCCTTGAACTTTTCCTCCACGTTTTTGCCGAAGGTGCTGTGAATTTGGGCAAAGGCCTATTGAAACCCAAGCAGCCACTGCATGTCGGGTGCTGATCATTACACTGTGGCCCAAATAGACACTCGGGCTCCTTCTCAGTGTCCACTCCCAGACCGGAAGACCAGGCATGGCGTCCTCTGCTCGGACGCGGTTCTCTCCCGGTGGCCTGGCCGGAGTGAGCTCTGCCTGCGCACGTGAGCGGCTCCGGTCGGCCGGGATTTGGCTGGCTAACTGGCGAAGGCGTAGCCTGGTGTCCCCGACCTCTGATCTGTGCCCAGCCTTCTCATAGTTCGGGAGAGGGGGGACGCGATCAAGGTGGCGGTCAGCGATTCGTCTGCCCAGGCCCCACGTTCTGTTGCCTTTGACCCGAGTACACACACCTTCTCACGCTCTTGAGACGCCGGCCCTTCGCGGTGGCCAGCACCCTCTCGCTAGTCCGGCGGCCCCTTTAGGGAATACGCGGGGCCTGCAGCAGGCAGCAGTGTTTCTGCTGGCCTAGAAATGCCCGTATCTAAAAACAAAGACCTCCCGATCAGGGGCCCAATAAATCTGGCCCGTACACGGCAGCCTCTCCCCATTATTTCCCTGTGTAAAATGATGGGGGATACAATTTGCTAAATAAAAAGGCATAAATATAAAGAAAAAAAGCTTCGGAGGTCAATTTACATAAAATACAGCTTTATTTGAGAGCAAGTCCCCAAGACAAAGTCACTGTTTAAAATGCTTTATGGTGTTTGAAATCTCAATTGTTCTTAATATTTATTTGTTTGGCAAACAAGTTACCGTGTCCCTGTCCCTTCGGAGACAGAAAAATAAACCATCTCGGTGATCACTTACTTCTCTAAACACAGAGAACGTGCTGTATGGTGCGAGCAGCTCTGAGCCGCTGGGTTACAAACGACCGTGTCACTTGCAGAAAATGAAATCTGGGGAGGAGAGAAAGAAATACACCCGGAGCACGGCGGACGTGGGAGGCTGCTCTGTCGTATCGAGCGGTGACATTCAAATCTTTTTTACTCCACAGTGCCGAAGATTATGATATTAGGTCCGCCCGCCTCGGGGAAAACAACTATCGTAAGTCATCGCGTTAAGCGTCGTGATACCATAGCATCTCCTGCATCCTGCAGAGCTGGGGTGACTGCACCTCGGCGGATTTTCATCATCACCGAGTTTCCTTTTCCTTCTCCTGCTTCTTAATTTACTTTCTTATTACAAGGAACAGTATGTGTTCATCGTAGAAAACCTAGAAAATACGAAAAAAAAGAAAAGAAAAGAAAGAAAAGAAAAAAATCCCACCCCCAAATGTAATTCTTCAGCTATCCAGAGAGAAGCGTTGCCGTGACATTTTGGGGTCTACCCTCCAGGGTTTTGTCATGGCCACATGGACACAGCCTTCACACATCCCCAGCAGCAGCCTTAGGCTCCCTTTCTAGCGGTGCTGGGGCATACACACCTCTAGACGGTGGGCATCGAACCTGCAGATTCACTCTTAAAATCGTCATTATGAACTAGTTCAGCCGATCGGAAAAGCGTGGAAACTGGGCCGAAGTCCGCGCGCCCGGCTCCCAGATCACACAGGAATTTACCATTTTACTGCTTTTGCTTCGATGAGTCTTTTTCCATCTTAAAGACAACTTTAGAGGTACAGTGACTACGTTGCCCTTTTTGGAGGTGACCCCTCTCCTGAAGCTGGTGCGCTTCATCCTATCTGGGTTTTAAACTTTAAGCTCCCTTTTTTAAGTGCCAGAAGCACGTTAACATTTTAATCTTCGGGGATGGTATTCTTTCTGTCTTCCGAAAGCCTGCTTGGTCAACATCAGTTAACTCTTCCTTGATGACTGTCGCCACTGTGAACACTCGTCCCAGGCCTGGAGGATGTGGCGGTCAGCTTCCCTGATTAGCTGGCATTTCGCTTTTTTCTGAACAGGAATTAAGGTGGAGGGTCCTTGCTGTTCTCTCTGCCGGTCCATCCATCCGTCTGTCAGTCTCTGCCTACGGTTTTCCCTGGGCTCAGCAGGCTCAGGCTGTCCGCTTCCACCCCTTTCTGCAGTCCGCCCGCCTGATTCGCCCTTATGCAGTTAGGATTGCAGTTCTGCGGGGGCTCCGGGCCTGGCTGTCACTGTGAGCACTCCCAGGAAAATGCAGCTTCCCAGGCTCCTCTGCAGACCTGCCTGGCCAGGACCTCCCGGGAGGCCCAGGAAGCTCAGGGGACCACTGCTCTGACGCTGGGAACGAGGGCGGTAGCTGTCGGAAAGCTGAGTCCGTTGCTGAGCTGAGCCTGAGGCTGTCCCTTGGCAAAGGCCCTTTGTCTTCATGCCACTTGCCACTCTGGAGCCCCCTTGCTTCCTTCCCGGCTCTGGCCCTTCTCTAAGAACAGGGAGAACTCATGAAGCACCTGTGACCCAGCACAGGGACCCAGCCTGGCCGAGGTCAGGGCCCGCAGCGCTTAGCCAGTGTTTCCGCTACAAGGCCCTTGGTGAATTCGCTGTCCTCGCTCCTGACCGCTGCCTGGGGACACACAGAACCTAACTTTACCATAAGATGGTATGTAGCAAAATCCAGACAGAGGGCACTGAAGGGCTATTTCCTGATAGTGTCACCAACTTTTCCCAGAGCGAGGTGCAGAGAAATCAAGGTCATACCCGCCCAGGGGACCTTCAGGACCCTCGGGATCATCCCGATGCCAAATGGCCATCAGTATAATCTTGGCATAAAGGGCATTTTCTCGCATTATTCCTTAAAGTTTATTCTTCCCGTGAGTAGTAGTCACGAGTGAACTAAACGTCCGTTTGGCCAGGATAGCTTGTCTCTTAACCTTTAAGAAAAAAAATCTTCGACTTTGGGTCTTATCTCTGTATTTCCTGTTATAAATATTTCTTGAGTTAAAAACTCATGGTCCACAGAGCTTGGAAAGGCATGCCAAGGGCAGCCGGAGGCATCGTCCGTTTGCGGGTTTTCCAGCTCCATTTAGAGTCGGTCAATGGCTCGTTGAAGAAGAGATACCCGCAAGCGGAATTCCTAGGCTGGGAGTTACTTCGTGGGTTTGTCTCCCTTGGTGGCCTTCCGGCCAGAAATGATTACGCTTTCCTGTGGCCAGTCTGTCCCAGTGGAATGTGCGAGGGCCCGGGCATTTTCCTGGAGTTCTCTTAATCATAGATTGCACTACAGTTTCCCTTTTTTTCTTCAGGCGATGTGGCTGTGCAAACATCTGAAGAGCGTTCTTCTCTGCCTGGAGAACTTGATGACAAAAAAATATTCCTCCTTGGCTGAGCGGGCCAGGAAGCATTATCAGAAAATGAAGGTAGGAGTGGCCCCGCCCCCCACCCCGCCCCTGTTAATTTCCCATTTCCCGTCGGATTAGGTGAGAGAAAGTGCTGGGGTAGAATGAGATACAGACAGGAACTGAGGGAAAAGACAATTCTCAAACAAGCCGCATGTGCTGGTGGTTCCGAGGGGAGGGGTTTGTGGTGGAAACGGTCATGGGTAGAGGGAGGGGGTGTCCGGTACGGATAGAGCTGCGGCTGGCTGCTTCAGTTAGGGTCCCCTGGAGCAGGCGGGTGGGCAGGGCCTGGACCCCACTGGAGATGCACCTGCCGACCTGCGCCAGGCCGGGGGGCCGAGCTGGCAAGGAGTGTGCAGGACGGTGGTCCAGCTGTCTCTCCAGTGGGAAGACTGCACGTCGGGGCCACTCTCCTGGGTCAGGCAGTCCCCTTCCATGCTGTCCCCCTTCCACACATCCCCCTCCCCACCCCCCCAGGAGAAATCCCACCAACCCTCAATTTGAAAGACGTTTCTTTTAAAGGGAAATTTAGGGCTTGATCATGTTGTGTCTCCGTAATGCAAATAGAAGCCTTAAAATGCTTCTTCAAAATCCCCTTTGGAGCATAAGTGGGCGTCTTGGTCCAGTCAGGCCACGATCACCAAACACCACGGCCTGGGCTGGGTGGCGGGCGTGGCAACAGCGTGTGTTTCTGGGGCTGGGAGTCCGTGAGCTCGGTGCCAGCAGGTTCGGCGTCTGGTGACGGCTGTCTTCTCCTGTGTCCTCGTGCACGGAGAGGCTGAGGGAACTCGCTGGGGCTGCTCTTGGAAGGGCACTGACCCCATCCATGAGGGCTCCACCCTCCTGACCTAACCACCTCCCTGAGGCCCCGCCTCCCCGTCACCTTCAGGATTGAGGTTTCAGCGTGCGATGTGCGGAGGCAGGGGACCCAAACATTCAGACCACGGCAGCAGGGGCGTGCCCTTCTGGGTATTCTTGTCCGAGACCCGGGCTGTCCCTCGTTTGGAAAGGGAGACAGTTGAGAACAGAGAGGATGCTTGGGTTTTCAGAGCACTGGGTGCTGGGCGCGTTCCAGGCCTCCCTCCGCCCCAGCTGATCCCCTTGCAAGGCGTATGGTGCTACCGCTCGGGAGTCGCCCGGGCCCAGGCCGGGATGCGGGCCCGTGGGTGCCCCGAGCCGGCCCCACCAGCCTCTGCAGACCTGTGCTGAGAGCTGGCTGCATCCTGTCTTCATTGGCATTTGTCGGGCGAGGCCTTTACCACATGGCACGTGGTTGCTGTTCCTCCAGGAACTCGGAAGTGACTTTCCAGGCCTCATTGAACGGTGGCTGGTGGGACGGCTCTCGTGGCTAGCTCTCGGTTGCCCGGGGCAGGAAAGGGGATCTGAGGGGGAGCCACAGTGACTCCTGGGGACCTGGAGAGAGGAGGCAGTCACCTCCTTGGCTCTGCGGCCAGGAATTGGTGGCCGCCCCGGCCTCTCTCTGCCTCTGAGGCCACTTCGCTTTTTATCTCTGTTCTCTGCATGGTTTTCTCTTTCCTCTTTCTCGGCCACTCATGGCCACCTATTCCCGAGTTCGGCTCCGGCCAGCTGGTCAGGTGTCCCCAGGGCTGCGTCGGCTCTGGTGAGGGGTGTGCAGAGAGGGCCCGGCGAGGGCATAGACGGTGAACGTGGCTGGGAGGGCCCTGGGGGGCGAGCGGACCTCGGAGATGAGAGGTGTGACTGAGGCAGACACCCACCCCGAGCTGGCAGAAGAGGAGGAGGACGTTGGTCGTCGAGGTCACACCCCCCGACGGTGAATCAGTTCTAAAACTGCTCAGTCCAGTGCTTCCTGCCCCCACATGGGCTGTTGAGACCCTCAGGGAGCGAGGGCTGGCTCGGCCCTGCCCCCTCCCCGCCCCACGGCCCTGCAGGAGTCGGCACGTGTGGTCACAGTTTGGGGGACACCAGCTTGCCAGTGGGAATACAGTTTTAGAAAGAAAGTGGTTATCTCGTTTTCCGCAGAAGAGAAGCTTTTTAGGGTGGGAGAAGCAGGCGCATTTCTCGGCTAAAGATGCTCCTATTAGGTTTATAAAATTCGACGGAGAGGAGGGAGTTTAAGGAAGTTCCTCCTGGGTTTCATTATGCTAATTAGCAGCGCATTTCAGACCACGTGGAAGTGCCTTCCCCGCATCTTGCTGGGGTTCTTTGGTCGGAAGCACAGTGAAGGGGAGATGAAAGTTGCGGCCGTCAGGACTGACGCAGGAACGAAAGGTTCTGCGCGGCAGGACGGGTGCGGGTCGGGTCGGGGCGCTGCGCGTGGCCTCGCGGCGGACGCCTGCCCGTCCGCGGGAGGCTGCTTTCAGTCGTCTGCCGATCTGGAGCCTTCGCAGCTCTTGCCCGTAGCAGCAACACCTTCAGTACCTGCTTTTCTCCCGTCGGCCGTGGCCCTGCCTCCCGCGTGGAGTTGTCTTCGGTTGCCCGTGTAACCTCGTCTCTGCCCTAGGCATTCCCAAGTGGTCTCCGAAGTACCTACTGCGTGCCAAGCACTGTCCCGCGGTGCCAGCCAAAGACCAGTGCCTTCTTCTTACCCCCAGGAACTTCCGGCTAGTGGGGGGGCCAAGGGTGCCATAAAGCTCGGCACAACCCTGGATATGGGGTCGGGGAGGCTTCCCGCAGTCGGCGGCGTGGTCGACCAGTTCGCTTACCCAGCAAGTGTTCTCCAAGCAGCTGCGAAGTCCCAGGCGCTGGCTCCGTGCTGGGAAGAGGGGACGGGCTGCAAGGTGTGGGGGCTCCGTGGCGCGTAACCAGCGCCACGCTGGGCAGAGCCTCCCAGCGGGACACGCCGTGGTGTGCGGAAGAGCCCAGGGTCAGGCGGGGTGCCACACGCCAGGGCAGGGCTGTGCCCAAGGATGCTGGGGGTTCAGGTGCCCAGGCATCAAAAATGGCTTTTTTGTTTTTAACTGTTTATCATAAAATGTTGTAAAGATACTTTGAAGCACTGACGATAGCGTAAGAAGCCTCATGGACCCATCGCCCGGCTTCAACCAGTGTCCACTCATGGCCCCCAAGTTTCACAACATCCCCATCCCCGCTCCCGGCTTCTCTGAAAGCAAGTGTGCACACATTTCATTTCCTCCATGGATGTTTCAGTCTGTGTCTGCTGAGAGACAATATAAGGCAGAAAATGACCAGACCATACACAAAAACAGGTCTCTGACTCCACACCTGCAGCAACCCGCCCGAGAAAGCAGCCCACCGTCAACAGTGACCAGCCCAGGAAGCAGCCGACTGTGGTCGGGCTTGGGGGGCGTCATACTGCTGTCTAGTTCCATCCATGAAGCCCTCCAGTCCCCCCGTAACTGTCAGCCCACAACAGCCAGGCCCTGATTAGCAACGGCCAGCTTCCTTAATTTGTGTCCCCCCTCCCTACTTAGACCAACCAGAGAAGGGTCCCTAACCAACACAAAGGCACCCGCTTCTGTCAGCCGACTCGCCGCCCCTGGCCCACAGCCTTCATCGGGCACCCCTGGAAAGCTCTCGTTGCCTCCTAGAATGTTCTCTCACCCTCTGCCGGCCTCTGAGTCTCTGCCAGTCAGAATGACGGGGGCCGACCCCTTGCCAGAGCCAGCCCTGACTAAATAGCCTCTGCTTTTCCCACTTGGGTGGTCTCCGCTTATTTCTACATTCCAAAATATAAAGGCTCTTTTTATTAAACACACACACACACACAGAGGGTCGCTCCTAGAAAACGTGCCAGCCTTTCTCAGTGCCCGCTAGGGTGACACTCTCCCCAGGAGGCAGCGTTGGGTGGTCCTCGGCCCCTCGCCCACTCCGCCGGCCCCGGGGCACTCTGGGTAGGGACGCTCCCCGGCCATGTTTCTGGCTCCTCTCCACGCCCGCCCACCGGGCCAGCTCTGCTCTCTATTTTTCCTCCTTGTTCATCGAATTCGTCTGTTTTTTCAATCCCCTGCCTCTGCTTTCTCTGGTCTAGCCTTTCAGCACGGCCGTCTGATTCACCATCACAAACACCACGAAAAGGCTCAGCCGAGGTGGGCCCTGGGGGTGGGGGGTCAAGCGGGAGCGAGAGTGAGGCCAGCAGGACCAGGCACGAGCCTGAAGGAGGCACCTTGTCTGGTGTCCATCTGCACGTGCCTGAGCCTGAGCCTGAGCCTGAGCGTGGCACTGCCCAGCGCTCCCGGACAGCCTGGCCCAGTCCAGGCCCCCCTGGGAGTCTGGGGGACCAGCGGCAGCAGGACCCAGTTTTGCGGGGTCCTAGTCACATGGGGTGGCAGGGAGGGGCAGAGGCTCCGTGGGAAGATGTTGCTCTGCAGCAGGAGCTGGGTGTGATCGCTCTGGAGTGTTTCAGATTTCTGCCGAAAGGAAAGAGCATCATTGAAATGTCTGTGGGAAGAACGCGTCTCCGCAGATCTGAAACTGCCTAGTCCGGAGGTCCTCGCCTTAGCCGCCCGGCAGACCGAGTCCCCGGAAGTGAGGCCAGGCCTCAGGGTTCGGGAAGGCGCCCCCGAGAACCGTCACCTCGCCGGCTGGGGACCGACCCAGCACCACCCCGCTTCCCGCTGCAGCTGTGAACCTTTACGGCGCAGCGCAGGTATCGCTAAGTCTGTTCTGCTCGCAGTGCAGGGCGGCCGCCTCGGAGCGGAGCAGCCTGTGTTTGCTAAGCGAGTAAGCGACGCGAGCTCGGGAGGCCGGTCAGACGGGAAGGAGCCGGAGCTGCGTGTGGCTCCGTTTGCACGTTAAAAGTCCGACGTGGCCCGATGCGCCCAGGTGCCCAGCTGTCGGAGTCACCATTTTCTTTACTGTCCAAATGAAAGGACTTGTGCCCTCCTCCCGCCTCCGTCCACACACAGAAACCCAGTCCCCTCCGAGTGCTTTGAGGCTTCCCGGGATGGCCCGGCAGCTCGTGCCACCAAGTCCTCTGGCTCCTCTCTGTCACCTCCGGCTGCTCCATCTCCCACCTCGCTGCTGCCTGGGCCGGAGGCCTTGCCGAGACCAAGCACCAGGAGCCCTCACGCTCTGCTGGTTCCTGTCGGCCACTCAAGGCGGTGGCGTGGAACAGGCCTTTTTGGAAGGTTCGGGGTATTGGAGGTTGTTACAGCCCAGGGTGGGGACAGATAAACCCGAGGACCAGACTCCGGGGCTTTGTTCAAAGTTTGGTGGCCATTCCCACTATAGGGTCTCCCTCGTGGGCCACCTCTCATCGTGGGCCTGCCGGGCGCCTTGGGGTGGGGTCTGCGTTCTTCCTTCAAAGCCTCGTCTCCCATTCCTTCCCTCCTCGCGTCTCCTGTCCCCTCGCCCTGGCCCCATTCCGGACTCTGCCTGGGCCCAGCCACGTAAACCCGCTCTGGCAGAAGCTGTGAAGCGAGCATGGTCTTGAAAGGGTTCTCTGATCAGTTCTCAAGTGAGCTCAAGTCCAAGTCCGGGGCTTCTTCGCCTGGAGCCCCCTCAGGGGGAGGAGGTGGGAGTGGGCAGAGCGGGAGTCTCAGCCGATCCCCTCCCGCCTCTGCTCTGGGGGGAAGTTCACACGGCGGCTCACACAGCAGGCGTCACCCAGAAGTGGCACAGGGACATTAGGGGCCCTGATGAGCGCGGGGTCCGGTGGTGGGACCGCGCGGGCTGGTGACATCCGGGGAGGAAGCCCGGGCTCGGAGACGTTCAGTGAGGGGCAGAGCCCGGCTCTGACCACCACCCCCGGCTGCCCTGGACATCAGCATACCCGCTCGGCCTTGGTGGGGGTTCCTCCGGGGTTAGCACCTCGGGGTTCTGCCCAGGGCCCCGGGCACAGGGAGCGGGCAGAGGAGAAAGGCCCAAACTGGAGCCAGGGCAGCCAGTTCCACCCTTGACAGCAGGGGGCAGGCTGGGCATTGTGTGTCACTGAGCTGAGAGTCAGGGGCCAGGGGCCTGCACCTGGGCTGGACCTTCTCCGTGACCAGCAGGGCCTTTGCCAGGCTCCATCGATTCGTCCTTGGTTCTCCCCGAAAAGCCGTGGTGGGGGAGCATGGCAGGGCTCTGGAAGGAGGGAGCCTCGTTCCTGTAGAGACAGTTTGGCAGGTCTTCAAGAAGCAGCCCCCTGGAAGTCCCAGCTGCTGATGTGACACATCAAAGCTGGCATCAAGACAGCACCACGGCGGGGGCGCGCCCAGGAGGGGCCGAGCTCAAAGTCACCCGCCTGTCCCCCGCCTCGCAGGCTGCAGGGGACACTTTGCCCCACCCGGACCTGTCGCTTCTCAACCCTTGTTCTCTGACTGGCTCCAACCCGCCCCCCCCCCTCCTTTGAATGCTGTCTCCTGAATGGGCATGTCAGGGAAGGGTGATGAATCTCTTGGAAATGAGCTTGGGCTGGGGAGGGGGGTGCAGCACAAGGGGTCGGGAACCGACAGGAGGGGGCGATGTGGAGGGGAGGGGTAGGGCTGCTCCCTGCCCACCCGCTTCCTGGGCCAGCCTGGAGAAGTTTCCTGGGATACCTGGGAGGGTACGGGCACCAGTAGAAAGACACCCTTCCTCTCCAGCAACTTCTCCCATGTGAGGTGGGGCTCTGGAGTGCTTGCGTTTGCTTAAGACAGCCTTTTTCCAGGTGTGGTCCCTGGACTAGCAGCAGCATCTGAGAACTTGTTAGAAATGCAGATTCCCAGCTCCATCCCAGACCGACTGAATCAGAAACTGGGGTGGGGCCAATGATCTGTGCTTTAACAAGCTCTTCTAGATGCACGGTCAAGGTCAAGTTGAGACCGACTGGCTTAAGCAAGAAATTGGCAAGGTGGAGGACAGGGCAAGTGGAAGGACACAGGTGTCTCAGGAGATAGTGAAACCAGGGAATGAATGCCGGTTGGCCTCCCTCCCTTGTGTCTCTGGCCTCTTTTGTCTATGTGTCATTCATCCATCCATCCATCCATTCATTCATTCATCCATTCATTCATTCTCTCTCCCTCTCTCATTCATTCTTGCGCTTGATTTTTGCTGCCCACTTAGTAGAAGCCATTGTAGCCCCATAACTTCCGAGTGAACACATTACAAGTCTGGTTCCCGTCAGAAATGACCCCTCCCGTCCTCTCC